GCGGCCGCTGCCCTCCAGTCTGGGCGACAGAGTGAGACTCCAACTCAAAAAAAGAAAAAAGAAAATTGACCTGCTGCCTTGATTAAAAAATAACATATTTTCAAGTCATATTACATTTTATCTTACAGATGTTTGGTTGCTGCTAATGGGTGTGAGCAAGTTAGATATTCTGTACCGGAGACTACTTCTTACGAAGCTTTTTATCCGAGGATGGGGAAGACCTGAAGACCTCAAGAGGTAAGCATTTGCCCTGAATGCGTGTCTGGAATTTGTTGTTTTAGTAAACATTTACAGGTTTATTTCAGTTATAAAATCTTTTACTCTCAAATATAGTGATTGTCCAGCAAATAAAACATTAAACTATATGAAAAATGTAATTTTTCTGTATTTCTAGCTATTTTTCTTAAGTTTTAGCCCTTATCATGAATTGGAGTTTTTTGTTTGTTTGTTTTGAGTTGGAGTCTCACTCTGTCACCCAGGCTGTAGGGCAGTGGCACGCTCCCGGACACCATAGCCTCGACCTGCTGGGCTCCAGTGATCCTTCCGCCTCAGCCTTCCAAGTAGCCAGAACCACAGGCGCGTGCTACCACGGCCCGTTTTTTTTTTATTTTGATTCAGAATCTCACTATGTCACACAGGTTAAAGTGGAGTGTCACACTCACAGTCACCGCAGCCTCGACATGCTGGACTCAGGCGATCCTTCCAAAGTAGTTGGAACTACAGTCATGTGCCATCACACCCAGCTAATTTTTTGACTTATTGTAGAGATGAGGTCTCACCATGTTGCCCAGGCTGATCTTTTTTTTTTTTGAGTTGGAGTCTCACTCTGTCGCCCAGACTGGAGTACAGTGGCCGCTCCCAGCCACCACAGCCTCGACCTGCGGGGCTCCAGCGATCCTTCCGCCTCAGCCTTCCAAGTAGCTGGAATTACAGGCATGCGCTACCACGCCCGGCTGATTTTTTGTTTTATTGTAGAGATGAGGTCTCGCTGCCCAAGCGGATCTTGAACCCACGGGCTCAGGCAATCCACTCACCTCAGCCTCCCAAAGGCGCGGGATTATAGATTGAGCCACCGAGCCCAGCTTGCCCAGGCTGATCTTGAACCCATGGGCTCAGGCAGTCTTCTCACCTCTACCTCCCAAAGTACTGGGATGACAGGCATTGAGCCACCACGCCCAGCAAATTGGATATTTTTTATTTTTCATGTTTATTTATTTATTTATTTATTTTGAGTTGGAGTCTCACTCTTTCGCCCAGACTGGAGTGCAGTGGCCACTCCCAGCCACCGCAGCCTCGACCTGCTGGGCTCCGGTGATCCTCCCGCCTCAGCCTTCCAAGTAGCTGGAACTATAGGCACTATAGGCACGTGCTACCACGCGCTACCACGCCCAGCTGATATTTTGATTTATTGTAGAGATGAGGTCTTGCTGCCCAGGCGGGTCTCGAACCCGTGGGCTCAGGCAATCCACTCACCTCAGCCTCCCAAAGGCGCGGGATTACAGGTTGAGCCACCGAGCCCAGCTTGCCCAGGCTGATCTTGAACCCATGGGCTCAGGCAGTCTTCTCACCTCTACCTCCCAAAGTACTGGGATGACAAGCATTGAGCCACCACGCCCAGTAAATTGGATATTTTTTATTTTTTTTATTTTTTTTATTTTTATTTTTTTTTGAGTTGGAGTCTCACTCTTTCACCCAGACTGGAGTGCAGTGGCCACTCCCAGCCACCGCAGCCTCGACCTGCTGGGCTCCGGCGATCCTCCCCCCTCAGCCTTCCAAGTAGCTGGAACTATAGGCACGCTCTACCGCGCCCAGCTGATTTTTTGATTTATTGTAGAGATGAGGTCTCACTGCCCAGGCGGGTCTCGAACCCGCAGGCTAGGCAATCCACTCACCTCAGCCTCCCAAAGGCGCAGGATACAGACTGAGCCACCGAGCCCGGCTTGATATTTTTTAAATAATTCAGATTTTTAAAATAAAGAGCTCTCAGAAACACAAACTAGATCTTTAACTTTAATTATGAAGCTGATCAGCACTGTAGTAGTTTCCAGAGGCTGAATTTTCTGGGGTAGCCTGATATTTGTAATGGCTGTAAAACTGGATACACTGTAGCTCATGGGACAATCTGGACTTAAGAAAGCAAACTTTCAGGATGAATGCATTTAATTTTGACTCATATAGGTGTTAATTATTTCCTGATCAATGTTGTTTCTCACATTTTTCTGTGAAATGTATCCAGTTTGAAAAAACCCAAGCCTAATCTTTTTCTTTAATGATTAAAATTAAGTTTTAATATAGCTTATGAACTGCACTTGATAATTTTTAATTACTCTTCATCAGTCTCAATTATAATGGGCATAATAGGTGATTTTTTTCCTTTTTTGTCTTCTTTTTCATGTAGACTCTTTGAATTCAGAAAGATGATTGGAAATCGAGAAAGATGCCAGAATCTGGTTTCAAGCGATTATCCAGTATACATCGACAAGGTATTCAGATGTGAGAAAGGAATTACAGACGTTCTGGCTTAACATAAACATGTGCCAAGAATAGATTGAATGATGGAGTGTGCAACAGCAAACTCTAAAACAGGAATGCAGTATAGATTTTTCATTTCGTGTTTAAGGAATGCCATCTGTACCCTAGCTGAATGTTTTTAGTAACTATATTCGGGTATTCTTGGGAGCATATGTTTAGTACTTGCCTCAAATAGGCAAGTATTTAGACTGGAACTTTCTGAATCTCATTTTGTATCTTCAGGCTCGGGAGGGTTCATGTAAACTATTCAACACTACACAAGAATAGTAGCCTTTAAGGAGGAGGAATCTAGTTGGAGAATTGGCACAAGACGAATCATTAGCCAAACTGTTCAGTGACACCCGGGAAAGTGCTCCGGGATATAGTTCATTGCTGAGCAAAGAGGAGAAAGAAAATGCTGTGAACTTAGAAAAGATGACAAGGTTCTTGATGTTTTTATTTTATTTTGTGATAGGAATGTGGGGTAAGTGAGGGTGAACTGCACAAGTAGGCTGCGTGCAGGTGAAGTCCGGGCTTCCAGTTGATCCTCCCTCTCCCTGGTGCCCAAGTACCCTTGTGTCGTCCTTCTCCCACCCCTGGAGGAGCTGTGACTTTGCATTGCTCCATTGCGCTCACGTGACTGATGTTCGGGGCCTGCTTGTGAGTGAGAACATGCAGGACTCAGCTCTTCGTTTCTGTGCTAGGTCCCTTAGTATGACGGTCTCCAGCTCCATCCAGTTTGCTGCAAAGTCCATGATTTTATTCCTCTCTCTGACTGTAATACTCCATTGTGTATGTGTCCCACATTTTATTTATCCAATTCACTTTCGTTGGACAATAGAGTTGGTTCCATGTTTTTGCTGTTGAGAATAGTGTGGCAGTGGACATGTATGTGTAGGTGTCCTTTTTGTAGAACAATTTGTGTTCCTCTGGGTGTATTCCCAGGAGAGGGATTGCAGGAGCATATGGACGTTCTTTTAGGGGTCATTGCACTGTTTTCCACAGAGGTGGAACTAGCCTTCACTCCCACCAGCAGTGTAGAGGCGCCCTCTTTTCTCTGCACCCACGCCAGCATCTGTTGTTTTTTGACTTATTAATGGTGGCCATTCTTACCGGTGTTAGGGGGTATCTCTTATAGTTTTGATCTGCATTTTCTCTGATAATTAGGGAGGCTGAGCATTTTGTTCATGAGTCTGTTGGCTGCTTATATGTTATCTTTTGAAAAGTGTCTGTTCATGTCCTTTGCCCACTTTTTCATGGAGTTGTTTGTTTTTTTCCTTTTACTTCAGTTGAGCTCCTTGTAGATCCCGGATGTTGCCAGGCACGGAGGCCCACACCTGTAATCCCAGCACTTTGGGAGGCCCAGGCAAGAGGATTGCCTGAGCCCAGGGGTTCAAGACCATCCTGAGCAACTTGGCCAGACCTCGTTTCTACAGTAAATAAAAAAATAAATAAGCTGGGCATGGTGGCGCGTGCCTGTGGTTCCAGCTCCTTGGAAGGCTGAGACAGAAGGATCGCCTGATTCCAGTGGGTTGAGACTTCGGTTACCGTGAATGTGCCACTGCACTCCAGCCTGGGCAACAGAGTGAGACTCTGACGTAAGAGGAAAAAAATAGGTCCTGGGTGTTAGACCTTCGTCAGGTGCATAATTTGCAAATATTTTTCCCCCATTCTGTGGGTTGTCTCTTTACTCTCTTGATGATTTCTTTTGCTGTACAAGAGCTTTTCAGTTTGATGAGGTCCCACTTGTCTGTCTTAGCTTCTATGGCATTTGCTCTGGGGGACTTGATTCAAGAATTCCTTGCCTACTCTGGTGTACATAAGAGCGTTTCCTATGTTTTCTTCTAGGAGTCCTGAAATTTTTTTAAGTAGACAATTGTTTTTCTGTAAAATATTTCTAGGTTTACATAATTGGAGCCTTGGTGGTATAGTTCAGGGAAACACAGACTGAGCTTCACACATCCTCACTGCGCTGCAAGCAAAGTCAAAAAAAGCATACCAAGTAAAAAATCAGCAGTCTTGCTTAATCTCTGCCGCTTCCCACCACCTAATTCCATTTGCCTCTAGGGGAAGTTGCTGGTCAGGATTTTGGCATTCTCACAGATTGCACACCATAAGACTCACCCTTTTAAAGTGTTCGGTTGAATGGTTTTTAAATTATATTACCGAAGTCTGCAGCCATCACCCTTGTCACATCTAATTACAGAACATTTTCATCGTCCCTCCAAAAACCCTGTACCCATTCGCTGTCACCTCCCATTGTCCCTGCTCCCACCTGCTGGTAGTCACTAATTTGCTTTCTGTCTCTGTATTCGCCTGTTCTGGACATTTCTTATAAATAGAATCATACAATATGTGGCCTTTTGTATCTGGCTTCCTCACTTAGCATAATATTTTCAAGGTTTCTCCATGTGGTAGCATGTGTGAGTACTGCATTCCTTTTTCGTTTTGTTCTTTGAGTCAGGGTCTCACTCTGTTACCCAGTCTGGAGTGCAGTGGTACAGTCACAGCTCACTGCAGTCTCGAACTCAAGGCTCAGGCAGTCCTTCCACCTCAACCTCCCAAGTAGCAGGAAAACAAGTGTGCACCACCCTGCCCCGTTCATTTTATTTTTTGTAGAGACAAGTTCTCACTATGTTGCATAGGCTGGTCTCGAACTCCTGGGCTCAAGCAATTCTCCCACCTTGGCCTCCTAAAGTACTAGGATTACAGGTGTGAGCCACCATACCTGGGCTCTTTAAAACAAAAAACAACAGAATTAGAAAATCTAGCCAGATGTGGTGGCTCACACCTGTATCCCAGCACTTTGGGAAGCAGAGGAGAGAGGATTGCCTGAGCCCATGGGTTCGAGACTAGCCTGGGCAACTTGGTGAGACCTCGTCTCTATAATCAATCCAAAAATTAGCTGGGAGTGGTGGTGCATGTCTGTGGTTCCAGCTACTTGGAAGGCTGAGGTGAAAGGCTAGCCTGAGCCCAGCAGGTCAAGGCCGTGGGTGTGCCACTGCACTCCAGCCTCAGTGACAGGAGACTCCAACTCAAAAAAGAACATCCAAGGAAAACTTCATTCTTATTTATGACTCGTTAGTGTACTGTATGAAAGCCATATTCTGCATTTGCATAAGTTGGTGGAAGTTTGAGGTGTCTCTGCTCTTTGGTTGCAACGAATGATGCGGTTGTCGACACCTGTAGACAAGTTCTGGTGTGAACATGATTTCCATCTCGTGCGCATGTGTGCTGAGTTCATTGTTGGGTCACATGACAGCTCTGAATTCAACTTTCGGATGCAGGGCTCAAACTGTTTTTCAAAGTGACTGCATCATTTTATTCCCACAGCAGTGTATGAGAGCTTCAGTTTTGCTGTGTCCTTGTGAATACTAGTACTTGTCTGGGTTCTCCTAGTGGGTTGTCCTAGTGGGTGTGAGCGTATTTCGTTGTAGTTTTGACTTGCATTTCTCTAATCACTTGTGAGACAGAGCATCTTGTCATGTGCTTATTGGCCGTTTGTTCCCCTTCTTTGGAGAAATATCTCTTCAAATCCTTCACTCATTTTCTTTTTTTTGGAGAGCAGGATATTTTGTTTTTTGTTTTTTTGAGTTGGAGTCTCACTCGGTCGCCCAGACTGGAGTGCAGTGGCTGCTCCTGGCCAC